GAAGTACACAATAGGGTACTGCTCGCTCCGGGCACTGTGCTGTGGCGCAGACCCTAGGACTGTGTCTTGCTAACTGAAACCCTGTGCCTTTGACCAATGCCTCTGGCTCCCCTCTCCCCAGCCCTGGCAGCCACCATTCCACTTGCTGCTTCTCTGAGTCTGACTAGATTCCTCACATAAGTGGTATCAGGTAGTATTTTTCTTCGGTGCTTACTCTCACTTCATTCAGCACAATGCCCTCCAGGTGCTGCATGTTGTTACAAATGGCAGGATTTCCTTTTTTTTTTTTTTTTTTTAGTTGCTTTCAATGTAAATGCAATGAAAATATTAGCTCAATACCTTAAAAAATATTTTTTTAATTAGCTAAGGAAAATTAAAAAAAGAAAAGTTGCTACCAAAATAGATGGTAAGAGAAGAGAAAATAGTCCGCAAGCGTTTACTAACTGCCTACTGTGTGCCGGGCTGGGGCTGGGGTGGGGACCGTAAGAATGAATAACAGTCTCTGTGCTCGGGTCCTTCACCGTGGAGATGGCACATGTCCACGCACAGGCAGGAGCACAGGCCAGGCTCCCAAGAGCCTCTACCAAGGCCGTCAAGAACAGGCAAGTCTGACCACCAAGGCCAGGGAGCCAGAAACGGGAGCTCAGCCTCACCACGGAGTGACGGTGGGACAGGATCAGGGTGGCCTGCAGCAGTTTTACAGCCTACAGTGAAATTAGGGGACAAACTGGTTGGGGATGCCCCATTCTTGAGGGGTTCCCCTGGTAAGCATAATGGGGAATCCCCCTGAATATAGCGTAACCCCAACAGTAAATATAGGGGCCAGAGGGGAGAACAGATCCCTGCTTGCTAGTAGAAGACTGGAAGGGGTGGGGGAATTCTTAAAAACTCCATTTACAGAATAGGAGATCCCCTTCTGGTACTCAAAGTTCCCTCATACGGGGCACTCTTGAGACAGCTGTGGTTACTAGCCTCTTGAACTTTGTTTCTGAGTCCATCTTCTTTCAGGGTTTAGGGGAAGACATGTGAATATATATTTATATGTTGAGAATGATAGAAGTATAAATACACACACACCACACAAGCACATTGTTTAGCTGTTAGGAGTTCAGTGGTCCCAGAATTTAAGTCATTTATTTGTACCACTGGAATCTAATTGTTGTTCACTTAAATATAATTCCAGACAGAAGACAATGTAAGGTAAGATATGTGTGAGAGAAAAATTCACTCCTGACACAAATGCCATTATGGATTCCAACATTTTGGGTGATTCTGGCGTCAGCAAAAAACAAAAAATAATAATAATAGCATAAACTTATTTAGTGCCTATTATGTACTAGACATAGAAGATGAAAAAAAGCAAAGATATGGATTTAACATTTTGGAATGAAATTAAAATTCTCAAGTCCATTTTCATTTCCCATCACCTTAACCCTAGATAAGCAATTAACTTCAGGAACTCTTCTTTTTATGGGGGAGGCAGTGCTGGTTAAAATATAATAAACAATGTGTTCATTTGCAAAGTGCCTGGAATTTTAAAAATGCATTAAGGACCAAGCACAGTATTATTATTACACTAGAGGCCTGATGCATGAAATTCGTGCAAGGGGCTCGGCCCTCGCAGCCCCGGGCTTTGTCTGGAAGGACTCGGGTCTAATTAGCATATTACGCTTTTATTGTTATAGATTCTCCCATATGTTCCATGGAAGCACATACTAACTGCATCCTGTCAGGCGGAATTCTCTCATTTCTCCAAGGTACAGATTAGGTCAATGCCAGAGATTCTACTGCCCTAAATGTCCCAACTACTAACATAAAACAGGACAAATATTTTTTTTAAACCCACAAACTGCACCAATCTGACCTATATTGGAATTTCGAGCTGGTGATCACTGGTGGCCAGGTGACAATATGAATAGGTGACAACATGATCATTAAGGAAAAATAACCCAAAGCCAAAATCTTTTTGTGGTAGGTTGGTAGGGTCATTCTTTACATTAAAATTACATTTTGTATATTATATAGATACTAAAATTTCAGTGAATGAAGTAGAAGTTGCTTTGAGTAAATCTATACAATCAATAGTAGTCTGGCTATGCCTGCATGTGTAGCTTGTTTATAAACATTAAGATAAGTGGCATTTTTAATATCCATGTCCTCCCGAAAATCTGTTTTCTAAAGTTAATCTCAAAAAACATACCATATTCCATATTCTACATTATATATTCAAAGCTTTACATACTATTATTTTAAAAATAGAAACTTAACAGAATCATAAAACTAGACGGCCTAAATACTGTAACACATGCTCTTTATAGAACATATGTAACTTTCCATTAATATATAAAATAGAAGATTAAAACCTCTAACAGCCCAGCTGGCATGGCTCAGTGGTTGAGCATCGACCCATGAACCAGGAGGTCACGGTTGGATTCCTGGTCAGGGCATATGCCGGGCTTGTGGGCTCGATCCCAGTGTGGGGCTTGCAGGAGGCAGTCGATCACTGATTCTCTTTCATCATTGATGTTTCTATCTCTTTCTCCCTCTCCCTTCCTCTCTGAAATCAATAAAAATATATTAAAAACAAATAAAACCTCTAACACTAGGTAAACCATAACTGCAAAGATCCTATATGTATGTCTCCTTTTTTCTATGCACATCCTAGTACACACATATTAATGTAACAATGTAAATCAATACCCATTTTCCACCCAATAATTATCTTGAATATATTTTAGATTCGTTTGTAATTAAACTTTTAATATATTCCTTAAGAGTAAAAAGCCCCTGTTCATAGTTTGAGAACATCATTTTACCTGAAAGAGGTTTGAATAAAAGTAATTTGAGATTTACTTCACATTTAAAATTAGTAAAATGAGTCTAAACACTTTAGAATTTGCTAAATTTAGCATATTAACAATTTAAATAAGTCAGTATGGGGGCTCTAAGCTGGAAAACCTTTTCCTGAATAACTCGATTATGAGTTTCATTTCCAGCTCCATCTAGTCTTCTGATCATTCTAAATTCCATAGGCAAGGGAAACAGTTCAAAAGCCATTCTCAGAAATGGAGTCTGGTGTCTGAACGGACCGGGATGGGAGCCCCACACGACGTCCGCGCGAGCAGGCTCCGCCCCGCTCCCGGGGAAAACCCTCCTAATATTTATAACGTTATGACACCGCGTCACCCTCACAAGGTGGTTGCAGCAGTATAAACACCGCTGCAATTATCTGATTGGCTGCCGGTGATGTCACACCCATGTCAATACTTCCCAGCGAGCGCACGTGCTCGACCTTTTATTTAAATTTCCATTCCATCACGGCGAGGAGGCACTCGGGGCGGTGCGTGTGCGGGGAAGCCGCTTTCGCCCGGGGCCGCCTGGCACCGCGGGCGTCGCGGCGGGAGGTGTCCGC